ATCGAAGGAGTGTGCATAAAGGCATTTTTGGAAGTTAAATGGTGAAACTAAAAATGTTATCAGTGAGACAAAAATCCCCGTTTTTGAAGTTCTTTTAAAGGGGCTCAAGGGCAAATCTTTACCGGCTAGAATAGTGCTGTGTGTTGTGTGATGAATGTAGCAGCAGGGCAATGGTGGGTCAGAGGTCACACATTCTCACAGTAGCATAGGTGGAAAAGCGTCCAGAGCTCTTACCGGTTCTGTGTGCCCAGAGCCAGTCCTGCTACCAGGATGTACGTAATGAACCCCATCACTGCGGAGTCACAACACAAACACATACACATGCATGTAATACATTTCCCATGAATGCACAATAACAGCATCTGCATCAAAATTCATGAACTGAAACATATGAGTCATACCGGGAATGTACAGGTCAGGGGCGTTGATATCAAACCGCGGGGCGACTGGCGTGTCCTGCTGATAGCTCACCTCCCAGTTCTACAGAGAGCAGGACATCACACAAACATTCATCCGGACACGAATCATTGAACAAAGAAAGGCACCTCTGAAGTCCATAGGACTTGTGTGATCTATATAATATTTTTGGAGCTTGACAGACCCTGGTCATAAAAAGAGTCGTCAAAACTTCTCCTTTGTTGTGATTTTTAAACATACTATCTCTTTACATGACTAAATCATATCCTCAACTATCCAGTAAATACAGTGGCTTGATCCTTGTGAAAAAGTAGTGTGCTTAATTGTACTGAATGTGCACTTGTAGTGTACTTCAAATCTTAAAAATATATATATTTTTTAAAAACTACTTGCAGATGATATATCAATGGCATAAAATGCCACTGAAGTGTACCCGTTTCTTAACGCACTTAAGTAAGCTTTTAAAATGTGCACTTTGTAATAATGTCAAATAAAAAAATGTATTTTAAAGTACATTTTAAGTCACGTTTTTAATAATCTTTTTAAAAAGTCATGCTTTAAAGTACACTTAGTTTGATGTGTTGACTAACAACACAAGTACTTTTTTAAACTATAGTGTCATTCAATATTACATTTAAAGTTAATATATTTTAAATGTACTAAATTGCAACTTCATCATTACAAATGTACCGAAATGCATGACATATGTTTCAATAGAAATGACATTCAAGTATATTTGAGTTTATCATAAATGCTCATCAGTTCATTCAGCAGTAACTTTAACCATATTTCAAAGATAATAGAAGTCATTAAGAAATCGCTTATGAAGATGTACTGCTATTTAAGTGGGTAAAAAAAACGAATAAAACAAATGTAAAAGTTCAACTAATTATGCATTTAAAACAAATGTAAACTATAACACATTTTGCAAATAACAAGCAATTAAGTGTCCAAAAGACATTACATTCGGTTTAGTGCTGGGCGGTATACCGGTTCATACCGAATACCGGTGTTTATTTTTGTTATGATATGAATTTTTTAAATACCGCAATACCGGTGTATGTCGCTTAAACAACGTTCAGAACGCGACACTGTTTGAAACGGGTGTTGCACTGTGGTGAGGGAACAGCTGTAAGTGTTACTAAACGTGAAAGCTCCGAAACTGAAGCTGTAGAACTAATAGAACGTGATTACACAGAAGAACTCATCCACAATATCCACATTGACCGCCACAAATATCCACCGCCCGCTGCCATCAGCTCCCGCGTCTCAGTCAATATACTGCAGTATTTCCTCTCAATCAGTAGAAAACATGGGTAACACCCGGTCATGCATGAAAAAAGAATACCGTCATGTACCGTGAAACCGGTATAATTTTGAAAAATACCATGATATCAATTTTTGCTCATACCGCTCAGCACTAATTCGGTTCACATTTAGTATATTATTTTCAAGCGTATTATTTACAAAATAACAACTCTCTTATTGCAACAACAGTGTAGGTCTGTAAGTGTCATCTTACGTCATGCATGTAGGGAAACACCAGCAGTCCAAGCTTCTTGCCCACATATACTGTGTCCACTGCAAAATAGTACTTCAGCTTAGAGATGGGGATGAACCGATCCAGCTGTGAACCAAAAGAGGAACGAGTCACACTCTAAAATAACAACACCCTGCAGCTCTGATTCACATCCCACAACACACATCCACTCGCCTCTGCAGGGAAAAACTAGCTTGTTTCAACACAGCATCATGCTCTTCTACACCGCAACACACTCACAGACGTCCACACGCATGACCGTTCCTACTCAAACGGCTTGACGTACGTTCTTGTCCATCATCTCTTTGCCGTGGGAGGCCAGGCTGCTGCCGTAGGCCATGGCGAGGTTAGACACGGGGTCCGAGAGCAAAGCCTGTCCCGGATACACATCAGGGCCTTTTCCCACACCGCTGTGCTCCTGTTTGTTCCCTCCAGCGCTAGTGTCATCAAACAACAGCCTGGGGTCACTGGGGTCCCCCGGGGTCCCTCGCATCCTGACGTCCGGCTCTAGAACACAAGAAATCACAATCCACATTACATACACAAATGACTGTAAATGTTGGAAAAAGCCAAAGTTACAACATGTCAAGGCATGTAATGCAAGCCTATTAAGCAACTCATTTTGATTTATCCAAATCATCTGCCATCTAGAAGATCGCATTCTGATGTTTGATCTGTTGAATATATGTAAACAAGCAAATAAAAGCGGAGCTAGAAAGAATAAATATTCGCCTGAATTAGCTTTTGTTGTAAACACAGTTATTTAATAACCAAACAAGCACACAACTGACCACATCATGTTCAACTGATCATGAAATATGTGTCTTTTATAGCAAATAAGAGCATTTATCCGCTCACTGTTGAATCACAATGGGAATAATCACGTACGTAACTTACGCTGTCTGAACCCACTCTGGTTTGGATACTCCATCTCTCCCAAAAAATTTATCTTTATTTAAATAGTGAGGTTACGAAAGACATATATAAATATTTATCAACACATTTAGACGTCTAACCGAGAAGCTGCCGGTAGTGAAACTAAAATTAGCACCGCAGAAATAGCAGGAAACCTGCAGAGGAACGGCGATCGTGTAACAGACATCACTTCCGGGTCACGTATACGGCTCGCTTCGGGATTGGACCGTTCCGCGCTGACGTGCTAGATTTTCTTTATTTTGCTAACATGTCTTAGAAGAGATCATTTGAAGAGACTGTAAAAAGTATTTTTCTTTTTTTTTTTGGTCGATGACAAAAGAATTTACGACCCAAAATGTAGTAAATTATAAGAAATGTTTAGCAAAGATATTGGTTAATAAAATGGGATTAGATACATTTGTGTTATTTAACATATTTAATTATTGCAGGTTTGCGTCATATTCTGAGTTTGCATTTCACTGTTTTAATTCATTTTGATTAATACTAAATCAGTTTTTTGTGAGTGGGATGAATTAATGCACATTCACATTTAGTCTAGAACTACAGAAACATCATGTTCACACAACGCCTCTGTACTTCTGATTTCTCCCGATATGGGGACAGGAGAGCTGTCAGTCAATAAATGGGAAAACAAAGTAACTGGCATTACTTTTTTGAAAAAGTAACTCAGATATTTTCTTGTAAATTAAAAAAGTAATGCATTACTTTACTAGTTACTTGAAAAAAGTAATCTGATTACGTAACTCGCATTACTTGTAATGAGTTACCCCCAACACTGTATATATATATATATATATTAACTGGAAAAAAGCATGGCTCTTACCTTTATGCATTTTGTGTCCCCAACAAAGTTAAAGACCTACATTTTAAAAAACTGCATAATATATAACCCGCTAATGCAATTACATCAACATCTTGTAATGCTCACTTGAATTGTAATTTCTGTAATTTCAGTCAATTGATCATCTTGTTCATTATCTGGTGAGTATTTTGAGTTTGTTTCAAGTTAGTCAGGTTAATAAAACCATCACATCATCAACATTCAAAGAGCAACAGGACATGTGTCTATAACTGATATATAACACTAAAGATGTATCTGAAAATATCCTCACGATCTCACAAACAATTTTATTTACATTTTTTTATTATTACAATATAAGAAAGAATGTCCAGCATTTGTATTTAAAAACAATCATCATTTGGAATGAAACAAGAAATTTGTATGTGCAACAAAAATGCAATATTTACAACGCAATAACCTGAATTATGTTAAAAAAGACAGTCTGGAAAATGCTTGATCTCATCATGATTGCAATATGGATATACTTTAATCAGTTTTTGTTTCATTTCACCAGTTTTAAGAGGAAAAAGAGTTAATAGAATTGTCTCAGTTGTGTGAGATGATCAACAACTCACAGCGCAGTGTAACTAGTGCACGATTCAGTGTGAAAACCACTTTAACTGTCTCTCCCTTTTCTGAACATAGACGTGAAACTGCACTATACAGACTTAAATTGATATAACTCTTGAACGAACACATTTTGAAACATGATTTTGATGCACCATTTCCATGGTAAGGCCAATGTCTGATTTTAAAATGATTTTCACTGGACTAATTTTGAGATTTGAAGTTTTCGATTAATATATAATGAATGATGATTTCTAAATCATGATAGGAAAAAAGGCAACAAAGAAATACTTTTTTGTGGAATTGTAGATTTTTGAGGTGAACTTTTGTAATAAATTAATCTATTACTGTTCCTACATCATTCGTAACCGTGATAAAATATGTATTTAGGTGTCTTAGACCTTTCCAATGATATAGGCCATAGTTTGTCACGATTAGAATAGGATAGTGAAGTAAACTCAGGCGTTCCTCTGAGGGACGGGTGACAGTTAAGATTAAAATGTTTATTTGATTGATTGATTAGTATTACTTGTGAATGCAGTAACTTTTGTCATCTATATAGTCTAGATCAGGCGTGTCAAACTGCAGCCCTGCAGAGTTTAGTTCCAACCCTGCTCCAACACACGTACCATGTAGTTTTCAAATAAGCCTAAATGGTTAGATTAGCTGGATCAGATGTGTTTAATTAGGGTTATATCTAAACTGTACAGGGCCGTGGCCCTCCAGGAACTGAGTTTGACACCCTTGGTCTAGATTGATATTTAAGTTTTCCACATTCAAAAGTTCAACAAAACAATTCTGATTCTAGTTTTGATAGGGGTATTTCCAGTTTGTCATAATTTTAGAGTGGCTCATTTATTTATTTTTTGTCTGTGAGATGTATTTTTGGTCTGCATACTTGTGTCATCACAACCTGCATCTGCTCATTGTCTTTCACTCCACTGCATGTTCATAATGGCCACAAACCACCCCTACATCCTCGTCATGAGAGCAGTTGTTTTTGCCCAGTTTGGCGTGTTTGCAGTGCAGTAGAGTCCGTTCGGTTCCTTTGCACTCCACGTCGTCCAGCAGGATTCTGACACCGACGCCTCCCGCCCCGAGCTCGGCTCTCTTTGCCACCCGCAGAGCCACGGGAAACCCCATCTGCCTGCAGACCACCGCCGCAGCCTGTATGTTAAACATGTCGTCGCACACCGTGCCCCATTCGCCCCGCACGAAGATCTCCACTCGGCCGCGGTCCTTCTGTCCTTCTGCGCTGACCAGCCTCGCCGTCCCGGCTCGAGATCGACCCCTCCGCTCCCCTTTCCTCCTGGGCTTGCCTCGGCCTCGTTTGCCCGGTCTGCCGATTTGGGTGTTTGCGGTGGTCCAGTACGCGGGTCTGAGGGTGGTCAGGGACGGAGGTCTGGGCCGCGGGGTCGTGTGGAGAGCGCGCGGCTGTGGTGTAGACGGCCGGACGGTAGTCGCTGGAGGAACCCGGCGGCTCGTCGTTTGTGGTACTCGTGGTCGTGGGGTCGCACTGGGTTTGGTGGGTTTTGGTTTGGGAATGGCGGTTGTTGAGGGTTTTTTGTTAATTACATACTCTGTGAAACAAAAAAGACAATGTCAAAAAAGTCTAGGCCTGCACAATTTAGGGGAAAAATCTTATTCTGACTGAAATAGTGATTGCCATTCAAAATGCGATTAAAAAACAGTTCTGTCATGACAACTCTAGGAGGGATTGGCATGGTAATGTACATGACAGTGTTAATGTATTTGGTCTTGGCGGAATAGATCTGCTACGCTGCTGCTGCTGCAGAGCAAGTACCGAGACATGCTACTGCCAATACATCCACAGCATGCTGCTGTGAGCATGTAAGAAATACTGCTGCTGCAAATATGACATACATGAAATAACCCCCATATAGCATACATGAATCACCTCGTAGCAGATCTATACAGGTGGAGCTGGGGAAGGTGGAGGGTTTCTGAAGCAAGCTGCACTGCTACGGCAAGCACTAGTCATTTATTTGAATGTTGAGCAGCGAGCTCATTGGCTACCGATACAGGAGAGAACCAATCAGCTGTGCCATGTGATAATGATGTCATTAGGTCAGATTGAGTTAGACCTATCGGACTGCGCCATCTAGAGTTTCATGCCAGAACTCTGTATTTGCAGGCTTGCTGTGCTTGTTTGCACAATTTGGCCCAAATTTTGAGATTCTATATCAGTATGGTTATAAAATAATAATATTTTATATAAATAATAATAATCAGAATCAGAATGAGCTTTATTGCCAGGTATGTTTACACATACAAAGAATTTGTTTTCGTGACAGAAGCTTCCACAGTGTAACAGAATGACAGTGACAAAATAAAAAACACAGATAATAAAAAATAAAAAATAGAACAAGTAAATAAGGCATAAAAGCTTCCACAGTGCAACAGAATGACAAAACACAGATAATAAAAGAATAAAAATAGAACAAGTAAATAGCGAATAACAATATACAAATTGACAATTTGTATGTACAGGTATATTATTTATATTATATATGTATATTATATTATATTATTCACTCTGCAGAATCACTGGTATCACTGGTATCATTCAATAATAATAATAATAATAATACATATAAAAATTATTTAAAAACTACATAATAAATATTACTATTGTAATATATCACTGAAAAAAAAAAAAATTTTAAGAAAAATAATATTTCTATATAATAAAATAATAAAATAATAATGTCTCGCCCACAGGCTTACTTCTGCGTTTAGGAATAAGATGGATAATAATTAAAGGGGTCACATAATGCGATTTCAAGTTTTCCTTTCTCTTTGGAGTGTTACAAGCTGTTCGTGAATAGATAAGATCCCTAAAGCCAAATATTCAGATGCGTGCAGTGCATTTTATGGAGGACTGTTTCCTGATCCTGGGAGAGTAGACTACAATGCCGGCTGTTCTGACTCACAGACTGTAAGTACGTTTTCATATTTAAAGGATTTGCCACTGATGATTCAAACGTGAGTTTTGGGCAGTGTAGAGTAGTGCTTGTAGTTTGTCATTTCTCCGATCACAAATGCAGACATGGTTTTATGTTTCCACGGCGAGATGCAACGCGTAAAAAGACAGTATAAGTCATTATAATCCGTATTTATGTCCCCACTGGATGCAACAAATGCCTCGTTTATAATGGGTTTTAATGTTTTTGTCTCGTCGCTCCGGCCGGACAGGGCATCACAATATGGTAACATTTCCGTCACACTCTTGAGGTATTCAACCAATCACAACGCACTGGATAGCTGCCCAATCACAGCACACCTCGCTTTTCAGAACGATGAGCTTTGTAAAAATCGACGTGTTTCAGAAAGGCGGGGCATAGAGGAGAAACAATAATGTACAGTATGTGGAAAATAATGTGTTTTTTGAACCTTAAACCGCATAAACACATTTCATTACACCAAATACACAAAGTAATGTTCTTTTTAGCAACATCATTTGACCTCTTTAAAATGTCCTTTAATATACAACGGCAAAATTATAACACTAATATTTACGGTTGCCTTAGTTTCTTCATTTTCAAACATTATATATTTTATTTTTTAAACCATCAAAATTATATGTTGGCCGAAAAATGCAGGGAGCCCTTAAGGCTTCTCATTTGAGCGCTTCTTATTACAAATTTGTGAATAGTGGCAAGTTGTATTCCCAAATGCCTGTTAAAGTGACCTAAACTTAGATCAGATGCAGGGATGGGGATCCTGTGACGCAGCATTTACTGTGAACTGAGATGCTGAAAACACCGGATCATGAGTTGCTTATGTGTATAAATGAACACTGTGCCAAGCTTAACCCTGAAACCATTCATCAATCATGCAGCCCTACTCAAGACTCACAACTCCAGTGGGATAAAGATATATTTACTGGCTCTCTTACCTTCTTTAGGACTGAAATGAATCAGTTTGCCCTTTATGTTGACTGGAGTGGGCTTGAAGTTGCATTTTCCTGGAGGAGCCCTCCTAAATAGTGAAAACAAAACAAGTCCAACTGTTTATTTCACAGCTGTTGAAATCTAAAGTTCAAAACCATACCTTACACCCTACAGTGCATAACAGGGTAAACATCACTATTAGTATTGCTCATGTGAGTGAATAAATGACAGGGTTGTTATTTTCTGTAAACTATTCCTTAAATATTGCTTCAGAAAAGCAATCTCGCTTTATTTTGGAAATTGTGAGAGGTATTTTAATATACCACTCAAGGATTCAAAAGTGTGCGGCCAGTAAGATTTGAAATATAGAAAAATACAGTAAAAACTGTAAAAAATGTGAAATATTTGTACAAATTTAAATATCTGTTTTCTACATGAATATGTTTTAAAATGTAATTTATTCCTGCGATCAAAGCTGAAGTTTCAGCATCATTACTCCAGTCTTCAGTGTCACATGATCCTTCACAAATCATTCTAATATGCCGAAACATTTAGAAAACAGTTGTATTGCTTCATATATTTTGTGGAAACTGTGATACATTTTATTTTTCAGAATTCACAGATGAATAGAAAGTCCAAAAGGACAGCATTTATTTGAAATAGAAATCTTTTGCAACATTACAAATGTCTTTACTGTCACTTTTGATCAATTGAATGCATCCTTGCTGAATAAAAGTGTCCATTCCTAATATAATGCTGTATGTGTACCTGGAGGGATCCACTATCTTATACACGACTCCTGCTCTGGCTGTGGCGCTGGCCGCTCCGGTCGCAAGGAAGAAAAGCTCACCTGAAACACAGACGACAGAGATGAGTGTCAGAGTGTGTTACACTGAAGAACAATAAAAAGACGTTTGCACAAAGCAGTCAAACACAGAGCTGCTCTCATGTTACCTGCCTCATCTTCACCAAATGATATGATGTACTTGTAGTAGCTGTTTATTAGTTTAGGGAAACTGCATGTTTTGTCAGCGCCCATACAGATCTCCTTATAGCTCCACTTTCCAGTCTCAGGGTTCTCCTTTAGGGACATCAGTCGCCTTGGATGCATAGAACGGGAAGAGTGTGATCTAATCAGTACATAGTAAATCTATGAATATGGAAATAATGCAGTCATTACGGGAAAGTAAACATGCAGTATTTTTGTGTTGATGGTGTAGAAACAATTTTATCTCAGGGTAACACTTTATTTCGATAGTCCACTTTAGACATTCTGTTAACAGTAAGTAACTTTGCAACTACATGTCATCTAGCAGTTAGTAGAGTATTAGTAGACTGTCTGCTTAATATCTGCTAACACTTTCTTTGTCAACTTATTCTACTAACCCTAAACCTACCCTAACAGTCTACTCTGAGAGTTAGTAGACATGTAGATGCAAATTAATGAGAATTAGTTGACATGTAGTTGACATGTAGTTACAAAGTTACTTGTAGTTAGTAGAATGTGTAAAGTGGACTATCGAAATAAAGTGTAACCTATCTCAGAAATTGCTAGTAAATTTCACTATTAATTATAAAGAGACTAAGTAACGCATTGAATTAAATGTTAATTTTTTTAGCATGAGTGAAATAGTTTTATTACAATAATCGTACAATATGTTTGTTTTTTTTGCATTGTATTCTTGTTTATAATTTGTTATACTGGACTGTAATTCATGAAGTGAGGTCCATACAGTAGAGAATACATGCATACCCACTCATAAAATCCCCAAAGATGTACAGGCCATTAAGATTGGGCATCTGGCAGCCTCTGTAGATGTAGCCGCCAGTGACAGACTTGCCGATTTTATGTGGGTAAGCAAAAATCGGAAGGATATCATCTTGGGAAAAAGTGAACAAAAAACGTTTAGAGGTTTGCTCTCATATACACTTCAACATAATTTTTAATGAGAATAAAATGACAGGCTGTGATGTAGTTTGATTATATACTAGCCTGCATGTGAGATTGTCTTATCTAATACAAGAAATTCAATACTTCAACACTGATGAATAATTTTTTGAAAGTGCATGAAACGTGTTAACATCTTTAACTGTCAGAAAACAACATAGAAACACAACAGTAAGCAATAATACTATTGCCCTAAAAAAAAAACACATTTTAGAATTTATGACAAGATTGAACAAAAAAGAAAATGTGCTCATCCTCTGTGTGTATTTACAAATGAGTGTGTTTCTTCATCAGGTTTGGGGAAATGTGTCATTGCATCAATGTCTCAGCAATGGATGCTTTGCAGTGAATGGGTGCCGTCAGAATGAGAGTCCAAACAGCTGATAATCCACATGACTAAAATATGAGTCCATAATCCATAATAACGCTTCCTCCAGTGAAAAAGTGGTCTGGTCTGAATCAGGAGAGAAATCTGCACAGATCAAGCACCGTTTAAACAGCTCTAAACAAATATGTGGCTGGATTTTGATGAGAGAGACAACATGAGATGGACGTTTTCACTGGAGGAAGCATTATTATGGATTATGAAGTCTTTTACATTTATGTAGTCATTTAGTCGATTACTTGTGGATTATTGTATCAGCTGTTTGGACTCTTATTCTGACGGCACCCATTCACTGAAGAGCATCCATTGCTGACACACTGATGCAATGCTACATTTCTCCAAATCTGATGAAGAAACAAACTCATCTACATCTTGGACGTCCTGAAGGTGAGTATATTTTCAGCAAATACTCATTTTTGAGTGAACTATTTCTTTGAATTAGACAATATCGGAAGAAAATGGTAGTTAATTTCACTTTTAAAACTTTGTGAATCTGGCCTATATTAAGCATAAATAGCCACATTTGAAAGGCTTGCTCACTGAGTGATGAGTTGGTGCAGAGTTTCTTGTCATAACAAGAGAAGCCCTCCTTTGCCCTCCATCCATAGTTTCCTCCTTTTTCGATGAGATCCACTTCCTCGTATTTATTTTGCCCGACGTCCCCGCAGAGCATTCTGCCGCGGCCCTGAGCGCTGACCGGATCGCCCCTGTCGATGGAGCACCTCCACATGTTCCTCACACCGTAGGCGTAGATCTCTGGCCTCGCGTCCCTCTCTCCCACAAAAGGGTTGTCTGATGGGATACTGTAGGGGGCGCCATAGTCATTGTTGTCTACATCGATTCGCAGGACCTTGCCTAGAAGAGTGGACCTGTAAAACACCAGTGCTTGTCTTTACACTTTTTTTTTTGCGCTGCATGCAGGCGTTTGTGTAACATTAAAATAAGAATGTGTCCTTAGGATTGCATTCATAAGACTACAGTTTTAACCTGCCCTATAAACATTTGCACCATCTGCTGTTGCTTTCTCTCACTCAACCGCATCCTCTCTAACCTCACGTAGCCCACAATGCCCCTGTGTCAATATTGACCCTGGCATGGCTCTGAACCGTCTGAGAAGGGCCTCTTCACTCATTTTCCCTCCTGTGAAAAGAGCTGGAGCGACTCCTCGCTTAGATCTGTCCTTCATTCACTGTATCTTATTATTTTCTGCTTTGTTGTTTTTATCTGTTGTTTTTGGCTGATTTAGAAAGCGTTAAAGATCTTCTAGCACCGCAGAACAGAACAAACAAACATCTAAATCACCGTGGGTTACATTTATGGATTAAAATGTTGAGACAAACCAACTTCAGACCAAGGTTAATACACTGCAAAAAATGCTTTTCTTACTTAGTTTTGTTTTTTTTGTCTTGTTTTCAGCCAAAATATCTAAAAAGTCTTAAATCAAGAAGAATTTCCTAGACAAGTAAAAATTATTGTCTTGTTTTCAGAAAAAAAAAAAGTGTCAAAATTAAGTGAGTTTTTGCCTGAAACAGGCAAAATAATCTTGTTTTTTGTTTGAAATAAGATTATTTTGCTTACCCCATTGGCAGATAATTTTGCTTGTTCTAAGCAAAAACACTTAATTTTGACTTTTTTTATTTTTTCTGAAAACAAGACAATAATTTGTACTTATCTGGAAAATCCTTCTTGATTTAAGACTTTCTGATTTCTTAAAATATATATTTTTTTTAGATATTTTCGCTGAAAACAAGACAAAAAAAAAACTAAGTAAGAAAAGCATTTTTTGCAGTGTACAGTTTTTAGGCATAAAAAAAAAAAAAAAGTAGGGCTGCACAATTGGTCAAAATAGTCAGCTAAAATAAAACCAAAATCGCGATATGGCTTTGTGCATTTATCAAAATGCAAAGAATATTTAATGCACTGCAGTATTTATTTATTTATTGCAATTTTTATCAGAAAATGCAGTTAGATTTTTTTTTTTATTAAGTTGTGTGCAAAAGTATTTTATTTCCGCGATTCCACGGCAACATTTTTCATTTTCATATGCAGTAAAATACCCACAGCTAAAACTGAGATAGAAACTATATAGACATATTATACAAAAATATGTTTATTAAAATTAAAATGGAATTCAAAATATTAATAAAAACCACAATAGTATCTCAGTGATACTGCTTCACACAATGAATAAATAAACAGATGCATAAATAAATAAATAAACAGACATTGTTAATGTCAGACAAGTGTTAATTTCATATGATTAGTATACTGATCATATGCATTGTGATTATATATTCAATGCAGGCTTTGCAAATAGGCTGTTATTGGAGAATAAAACTGAAATTGTTAAGGCTGGTTAGCATACTCTAGTTAACCTCTGCTTATAACTACACTTTTCTGTGAGCTCAAAGCATTGCATGTAACCACATATTAACAGACATTCAAAGCAACTGGAACTGAGTGCTCAAAGTCTAATTTAAAGTTACTGTGATGCTGATCATGTTGCTATAAGGTTTTAAGCTTGTCCATACTGCGTGTTGCACAGAAGAGCTAACAGTGTGATGAGACTGAACCTCCACATTCAACATGTAGTGTCAATATAGTGTGCTTCTCTGCTCGTCATCGGCAGCAGGACTCCAAGACCGCTGTGGCTCTGACAGCTCTCTCTATAAGAATGAAAGGCTCGCTGTGCGCTTGTGAAGCTGTGAGTGTATATTCACCAGGCTCTGCAGCGCTGCTTATGTCACGGGGGAAAGCAGGGCGGCAGAGCCAAGGCTAATATTGTGAGGCTGTGTGTCTGTCTGGCTAAATGTGCATAACTCAACCGGGGCAAATCAACGCCAAAATCTGAACCTGAATAATGCAATTACACAAACATCATTAAAATACCATTAAAGTGATCCATCCACATCTTTTGAAAATATACTATATATTTTTTGTAGGTTTTGGACTTTTTTTATGGTGATTTTCTTATCCTATACTTGAAGCTTGACTGCACCAGAATGGAAAAGAGCAGCTAATTCATTCAACAAAATATATTTTATTCTGTTCCACGGAAGACTGGATGACATGAGGATGAGTAAATACAGATTTTTTTTTTTGTATTGCATTATTCCCTTAAGAGCTGAATTTGCTTCATTATTTTAAATTGTAGAATACAACAATAAGAGATTTTTAGCCATTTACAGTCAAAATGTTCCTTAAAAAATAAATAAATAAATATATAATTAAAAAAAAATTGAAATATTTTCAATGGGAACAAATAGATATTAATTACTGCATAGATAGTATATATATATATATATATACACTGTGTGTGTTAATTTATAAATGTATTTAATTAATTAATTTTTTTTAACAGAGAGTATATGTTTCTTTGGATATAAGTGTCTAAAAAAAATTAAATAAATAAATAAAAAATACTCTCAGAAATTGGCATACCAAAATATATTAAAAATAATGTTTTTAACCATGAAATACGCAGGTCGAGTTGAGTGGAACATAACGTGAATATCTCATATCGGTCTCTCACCTTTCTGAGGAGTGATCCAGCATATTCATATCCGAATCAGACACGAGAAACTCACTGATACGAATCTTCTCCTGTTTCTTCACAGACACTGAGTAGTAAACGTAGACCTTTTTCACCTTTGTGAAGCGAGGGTGCAGTGCGATGCAGAGGAACCCTCGCTCATCTCCGGCCCAAGGTGAGGTCAGAACCGCCCTGGTCAGGTTCAGGAAGGGCCTGTCAATCCGAGAACCGTTGGCCAGGTAAGTCCACACGTAACCCAGCTGCTCTGCCACGAAGAAGCGGTGCTTGCCATCATTGGCGTGTACCATCGCCAGAGGATTGCGAAGCCCATTCGCCACTTCTTCCAGGCATAACTGAATGCAGCCCTGCGGATCCGCCTTCATGTCTCCCAGGTCGGCATTGAGCTCGGCGTTGGAGAGGACGTTTGGGTAGCAGTACTCGGGATCTTTCAGCTCTAGATATTTGCAGAACTTGCTCCGGTCTTCTTCGATAGCATGCGTTTCGTTGCTGTTGATCAGAAGGCTGAGAGTGTAACGGCAGTGGAGCCAGAAATCTTCACAGTAGTTTCCGCAGAGGCCGGGAAGCTCCCGCATCGGGGTGTTTGCGTCTTCTGCATCGTACAGATGCGCTGCGTAAGGAGAGCATTCCTGAAACAAACAAATCAAAGCATGGACATTTCTTCAACAGTGATATATGAATTCTAAAGCCTCTCTAACAGTAACAGTCCCAGACAGATCAAGATTGCTTCACTCTAAGATTCAGCTTTAAGTTGACCACATTAAAAGTGTGTCACATTAGTGAAAGTTTGGCTAAAGCTCTATTACCTATTGTCATTAGTGTGGTGATATACTGTATTATACCATGGTCTGTCTGAATACTGGATTCTGATTGGCTGGCAGGTATGCAGTAAAACTGTTTAATGCACAGCATTATCCCTTACTTAAGCACGGTGAACGTAGCAAATATGCATGAGCAATGGGGACTGAAACTTTGGTTATCAACTCATCAAAATATCTTATTTTGTGTTTCATAGAAGAATAGAAGAAAGAAATTCATACAGGTTTGGAACAACTTGAAGCTGAGAAATGATGACACAATTAAAATTGTTGGGTGAACTATCCCTTTGAGGACGATAACTATAAACTATTAAGTGTTAAGCATGAGTATGAGACTTTATGACAGTTAGTTATATAAAAAAGGAAAAATCTTTTAAAAATTTAGTTTAAAATGCATATGCCAAGGTCTTAGAAATGCACTTATATTTTATTTGTTAATGGCAATGTTAAATGTTCAATTGTCAGTTTTTGAAAAAACCTCTATGCCACATGCCATTTTTCTTACACACTGAATACAAATGTACATATCTTAATTATTACTTTTGGAAATAATTTTAAAATACATTTTCAAACGATCTGATATGACAGCATTTACTGGTTTATGTTTTTATTCCGCATTTTTGTGCATGATAGGTTTTGTTAAGTCAAGTAGTTTAAAATAATTTTAAAATACATTTTCAAACGATCTGATATGACAGCATTTACTGGTTTATGTTTTTGTTCCGCATTTTTGTGCATGATAGGTTTTGTTAAGTCAAGTAGTTTTAAAACATTTTTTCTAAGAAACACTATGCCAGGTTTACAAGGTTTTCTTTTCAAGATTTTTTTTTTTTATGTGGATTCTTCTGAAGGTTTTTTTTTTTTTTTGCAACACGATTAGAATAACTATTTTGGGTTCTCAGAGAACCTTTGAGTATACATTTTTGCTTTGTGTGAAGAACATTTTAATACTTATACTTGTGCTATAAAGATCCTCTGTCATAGAACCATATATGCAAATAAAAAACCTTAATTTTTAATAGTGTATGAGTTGAATTTTTAATGTACTGCATTTTTTTGTAAATTTATAGATCCATAAAAAAGTGTCATGTCATTGACCCATGAACAATGACTTGCTCCTATCTACGATACACTTTCAGTTAATCTCAAATAACTAATCCATCTGAAAAGTATTTGCTGTGTAAGGCTTTCTGCTTCTCTCCTCCTCATCGTCTGGCAAACGTGGCATTCTGCACGTCTTCTCTACAGCCGGGATCCCAGGATTCAATCCAGCAGCTGGTGATGATCGTTTGAGCTATAAATACAGTAACTCTTGGACATTTTGGACTAACCAAGCCCTCATTATGTTAACCACAACACCACACCCATCAGAGGACCGAGCCAGCCTTGGCAACGATACTGCCAGCTCGGGACTGGGAGTCATCCGAGATTACTATAATGACATTAAATAAATAATGGACCTGAAAGTGGCTTGGATTGATGGGCTAACTCGCTCGTAACACATCACAGGCACTGTAGTGTGGCCAAAAGGTGGATGAATAATGTTTCAAGGCTCTCTAATGATGTTTGATTGCAATTCAAAGAAAATATAGACCTATTGAGGGGGGGCTATGTGGTATAAATGAGTCCAGCATTTCCTAAACAACACACAAGGTTATGTAATATCCTGTTAGCATTGAGGAAAAACCTTTCAGAAATGGGTTGGACTGAATGTCTATGTCAAGGAAACTTCTGAATCTACATAATTCCACTGTAATTTTCAGGCGTAATAAAAAAACTGTAGGTCATGGGTCAATATATTACCCTCAAATGTCCAATAAAAGACTTATTTTTCTTATTTTGCTTCATGGATATCATATAAGAGGAGTTGTATTGAATGTTTTAACTACTGTTTCACATGCAAGATTATAGTAAACACTTCTAAGTAAAATGCCAAGTGTCTACTTGTTTTGAACAATTCTGGGAAAAGCACTAATTCCCATGCTCTCTTTCTTTCAGATGCACTGCATATTTTTGTCCTCCATACCTTCTGATCCCATTGTAAGTTCTTGCCCAGTCATTGTGTTCTTCTGTTTTTGTCCTTTGTATAATTGTGTTGATATGCTTCTGTAATTATGAGAGTCTGTAGGAGCTCACAATCTCTGTTGTTATCATTTAGTTCAACAGATGGTCCCTGCAGGGTTTCACTCATCAACACATTTGCTCCACTCTACTGGGCCTGAAAGCCCATTAGCTTATATGTCTGTGCCCGTCACTCGTTAGGCAGTTATGAGTTTACAGCTTCTCCCTGTTGAAAGAGTCATTATTTTAACCCCTTTAATAGGAAATGCATCATACTTATTTTTCTTATTTTGCTTCATGGATATCATATAAGATGAGTTGAGGAGTTGTATTGAATGTTTTAACTACTGTTTCACATGCAAGATTATAGTAAACACTTCTAAGTAAAATGCCAAGTGTCTACTTGTTTTGAACAATTCTGGGAAAAGCACTAATTCCCATGCTCTCTTTCTTTCAGATGCACTGCATATTTTTGTCCTCCATACCTTCTGATCCCATTGTAAGTTCTTGCCCAGTCATTGTGTTCTTCTGTTTTTGTCCTTTGTATAATTGTGTTGATATGCTTCTGTAATTATGAGAGTCTGTAGGAGCTCACAATCTCTGTTGTTATCATTTAGTTCAACAGATGGTCCCTGCAGGGTTTCACTCATCAACACATTTGCTCCACTCTACTGGGCCTGAAAGCCCATTAGCTTATATGTCTGTGCCCGTCACTCGTTAGGCAGTTATGAGTTTACAGCTTCTCCCTGTTGAAAGAGTCATTATTTTAACCCCTTTAATAGGAAATGCATCATGAAACAAACATTTCTTACATATCTGGTTTTACAGCAAAAAAAAACAGGAGGGCATCCAAAGTTGTGACCATACCTGAGAATACGATTACTAATTACATATTCAATATTTTGCCAAATCCAGCTATTTATTAATGCAATAACATGAGTAAGCGTGCTCTGCAGCCTCTGAATCGCAACCAGGCGGATATTTAGACCCTTCTAAGAATGCTATTGATGTTACACAACTTACATTTTAGAGAAAATATCTTCAAGATATTTCCAATATGTCCATCTTTGGTCTGCCAGCTTCTCCAAGCAACACAAAGTAGTGGCATTACATACATGAATGCATCATAATCGTTGCACAAATTGACTGAGTGAATGATTCAATGACTCACTCATGAGACAGTCACCTGTTGCAATCCAGAACAAATCAGTGGTTTTGAATGAATTGGTTGAGTTAATGACTCAATGACAGCCATCTGTTTGAATCATGAATGATCATACAAGGGCGATAACTATAACAATAACTATAAAATTTTAATATGCATTCGAATTCTATGAGAATAAAGAACTCCACATCACTGAAGAATTGTAACATGGAGTTTGGGTTTTGTTGCTTGTCTTTTATTTTGTAGTTTGGCCACAGTCATGTTCTGTCATGTGATTCCCTTGTCTGTGTGTTATGTTTTGATTGGTTCTTTAGTTCATGTGTCATGTTCTCATTAGGCTTGTTCGACTTCATGCGGCGCCGCAAAGATCGCCTGCCGCCTGACAAAAGCAATGCATTCTGGTTAGAACATTTGTCCAACTTTGATCGGCGCTTACGATCACGTGCCATCGAAGTACCGCGAGAGCAAAACGAGACAAGCCGCCGAGGTCAGGCGCTGCAGTTGCTCAAAATAGGCTGCGAGAGCCTTGATGACGACACACTTTATTCTCATTGGTCAGATTTTGTGATGACAAGCACAACGTCTGTTGCACGTTTATTCTAACAATTCGTGTTTTTATAACAGTAAAAGCTTTTTTAGTGTAGTCACACTGTTATCTTGAGTCATGTTTATCAAAAAACACTGATGAAAGCATATATTACTTATTACTTTTGAATAAAAGCTGCACTTGGGTTCATCACGACTGGCCGTTCAGTGGACCGTTTGTTACAGAATACTCGACCGCAGCTATGAGCCCAGCAGTTGCTCTTCTAAGACTTCGCCAAGGAAACCGGCCCATTGAGGATTATGTGCCGGACTTTTGTAAGTTGTGTCATTTGGTACACTTGAATGTATGTAGCCCTGCTGTCGGTGAGTGTTTAAGTGAAGCCTGTTCATGCCAAGCCAAGTCTGTTCATGTCAAATCGAATCTTTGTTTTGTATTTGTTGGGATTTTTGGATTCTGCTTTGTTTTAATAAACTGCACACTCGCCTTCAGTGGACTGCTCATTACAGCAATAGAACAAACAATATAATTAAAATCACTTTTTTGGTTTGTTTTTACAGCTTATCAACGATTAAAAAAACACTGACAGCCAATCAGAATCCACCCAACTTTAAAGAGCCCATGCATTTCAAGTGGCAGATGAGACGACTGCAGTGTGCACTCATAATAAACAAAGCATTTTCGTGATATTTCCAGTATTTCTATTTTTGGTCTGTCAAGTTCTCCAAGAAACAAACAGTAGTGTAGTTAAAGTATGTTCCTGAAAGAATCTGAATTCATTGGCTGAGTGAGCAATTCAATCACTCACTCATATTGACGGTCACCTGTTTTGATCCAGAAAGAATGCATATGAATTGGTTGAGTGAATAATTCAATGATTTGTTTTGATCAGCATATTGAATGATTCACTGACTCATAAAGGCAGCCACTTGTCGACCTCTACTGATGAAAGTCTGGAAAGCACAAAAACAAGGTTCCAGTGCTGTTGAAATTAATTTCAGCTCTCTAGGAATGCAGTTCGACCAATCAGATTCAAAACTGATGTATTATGAAAGTAGCCTATCCTCTACTCTTCCTCTTTCTTTCTCTCTTTCTTCAGTATCTTTGCTGCCCTGACCTTTCCACAGGAATATGATATGCCTAGTTAGAGAGGAAGCATATATTTGTGCTTCTCTGCAGGTTGGAGAACACAAGCAGCTCCCTGTATCTGGGATAAATGTTTCAACAAAGACAATCATTGAGCTCAGCTTCAACACTAAGTAGTCAAATAAATCAGGTGTTCCCTTCGCCAACCGCAATCCCACTGCAATCTCAAAACCATATGGTAAATTATTATCATTTAATCCCAGCAGCCTTGAAGTTGCAATGATGTAAGAAGGTGACTATAATTTGGATGTTAATTTTGGTTGGCCCCAGAAAGGAATTATGGTTTTACATAACAGTTTATTCCAATACACCAAAAATAACATATATATATCGTTATCATTACAAAATCAGAAATCATCCAGCCTTATAAAAGCATAGCCAAAACAAAAATGATGTAACTCATGCAATGATGTAACCTCCTCTGTACTATAAACACTGATGAATGGGACACAGTCTGCATCATTTATTAACAAAACTGGATAAATAATTTAATCAATATAAATATAAAATATTTATTAATATTTCATTATTATATTTTGTGTATTTTATTTCATAGCAATATTAATATAATTAAGTAATAAATACATATAATCCAATAACCCTGTACAGCTGTTTAAATTCTTATATATACATTTCTATAGAGAATTTCTTGAATTAAAGTTAAAGGGACAGTTCACCCAAAAATGACAACTGTCCTCATTTACTCAGTTGTTCCAAACCCGTATGAGCTTCTCTCTTCTGTTGAGCACAACATATTATATTTTGAAGAATGCTAGTAACCAAAGAGTTGACAACAGCCATTGACTTCCATAATATGTTTCATTTTCATACTATAGAAGCCAATGGCTACCGGCAACTCTTTGGTTACCAACATTCTTCATAATATAAAGAGTGTGTAAATGATGACAGAATTTTCTTTGCATATTGTACAACACAAGACAGGGCACAACAAAGTATGACGCATCCACATCCAAAATAAGTGAACGTAAATAATAAAAAAAAAAAGAACACAAGCAGCGAGAACTGAGACAGATATAAACTTTTTTTTTTTTTTTTTTCACTCAACAACCCTGTCAATGCATTTAAATTCTGCTATGTGCATTTCTACAGAGAATTTTTAAAACAGCAAAGAAATCAATCAGCCTGACCTGAGACTCACCTGGCAAAGAATGCTGCGGATGTACTTCCCACAGGCCATGAATCCAGTCTGATCGAAGTAGTCCATGATCTGATAGAAGCGCTGGGATATTCGGTTATCCCTGTCCAAGTCACAGCATCCAAATTTGGCGTACTCCTTGCAGAAGAGCAGGGGCTCCGGAGGCTGGAACGGAGGCTTGTAGTCCAGGCACTGTGGGTGGGCATTTCCCTGCTGAGGGATCAGGAGGACCACTAGAATCACACTCTGAGAGAGAACGCAAAGAGCTCTCCACACTCTCATTTCTCTCATCGCACAGGAGAAAACTCGTGTGGCTTGTGCTGAGTTTGAGAAATACCAATGGTGTGCAGTTTCTCCAGCGGTTAGTTGCAGTGGCCGGTGGTTTGTCTCCTGCAAACACGTGCAAACGCACTCACAGACACACACTGCTCTGACATGAGGCTCTGGGGCAGAGAAGCAGCTACACAAGGCCCGCTCATTCAACAGCCATGCCACACACACATGCATGCTTTACACACACGCTTCTCTATACTCCCTCCCACTTTCCACCCGGTCTCCTCCTCTGCGTTTCCCTCGCTGTCTCTCATTCTCCGGCAGACACATTCCTTCTTCTTGCGGCTGGCCTGCATCAAACGCTCGCAGCCTCCCTCCCCCGATTGAACCTGAGCCTCTTTCTCTCATGTTAGTCCTTTCATTTCGCCAGCTTTTGGTTATGTAATTGTCATATAAACCTAGTTTTCAACAAAACTTCTCAACCTCGCATGTAGTCAAGAATGAGTCAGTTAAATGACATGTTCAGTATGATGCAACATTGCTCTGTGTTTGTGGTGGGTGCTGGGTTTTGACAAATGATTTTATGGCTCTTTTCCAAACACTAGTGAGCAGTTTTGCTGATGCATCCTAACATAAACTGGAACTCAGTGACAATGGCCTATGTCAAACAGCTTACATATCTTTGTTAAAAAAAAAAAAAAAAAATGAAGAAAAAGAAGTGTGCTTAATTGTATTGAACGTGTACTACAAAATTTAAAAGTGTTAAAAAACTGTACTTGCAGATAATATAATATTAATTAAGTAAAAAGCCCACTTTCGTGAAAAGATACTTTCATGACTGGTTCTTAACACTTTTAAAAAGTGCACTTCATAATAATTTCAAATTAAATGTTTAACTTTAAAGTACATTTTAATTCAATAGAAATTGCATTAAAGTGTTAGATTAAGTAGTGCAGATATAGTGAAATTGCCTAGTACAATGGAAAATAATAAAATAAAAAAATCTATTGCTATAAAAAAACAAAGTAAAAATATATTTTCAAAAAGTTTTAGTTACTATTTATTTCCTCATATGTTATTTGGTCATTTTTTATTTATTTAATATATATTAAAAAAACAAATTTGTATTGTCCCAAAAGTATTTACAAATAAAAATAAAAAATGCAATTTTTACAATTTACAATTTTACAATTTAGTTTTTACTACATATTTAGACAGAATATATTTAAAAAAATTCTCAATTGTAATATATAGTGCTATTTTTAATTTTTCATTAATGAATGAAATGTAAGTATATTAATAATTAATATTTTTAGTGCTTTGTCTGCTGTCTTAGATGTGTTGTTGTTGTTTTTTTCACATGCTTTCCTTGTATAGATTTTGGCCAAATCTTATCTTTAATGATGATGTCTTTTGAAACGACCAAGAGCATATGATGCCTTAAAATACTGTCTATATAGGCAGCTAGAGAGCTTGTTTGCCAGCTGCTGATAATCTCTGCACTTTCTCTCTTTCTACTCTATACATGAAATCTGAATGTACGTCTCATCTGTTTTTAATTCTCATGTCAGACAGCCATGAGGAGCATCGGTTCTCTCACGTAAGCGCAGACAAAGAGCTTGAGCTTCCTTCACAGCATCAGCCGTGGTTACATAAATCACAACGACAAGAACAGCAGCAAAAGCTGGTGTAGGGTGAATGTTTATTTGCTTTAATTGTATTGAGGGTTTTGTATGGCTCTTATTTTGACTAAACCAGTGTGGAAAACAAGCCCTTGAAGTGAATCTGTGTCACATCCTTGAAAAACCTGATTCCACTCAATGTTTTTGATCGAGTTCAGATATGATTCCTTGTATTGTGTTTGTTTTTGTAAACCCAGGTTCACTTTTCTTATAAGCCCTGTTTGCTCCGAATATGATATTTGATTTGTCTTTTGGAAATTAAACTTTAATCCTTGCATGTAATAAAACAAGAGCTCCATTTGCTTTGAATGCAAAATTTGGCCTTTGTCTGCCAAAGGCTTAATAAACTTGGACTCTTGCTAAAAGAGCATAACAAAGTTCGATCCACATCCCACTGTGTCTGAGAGAAGCAAAAGAGGACTTTTTTTGTATATGGTGAGCGATTCTTGGAAGGAAGTCCAGTAAACTGGTGATTCAGCGCCACACCATGTGGAGACCTTTGGGGAAACTACATCTTATGGGGAACTTAACGACTGCTGTCAACGTGACCAACACTCCTAAACGCAGCAGACAGAGAAGATGAACGTGGCAGTGCTAGTATGTTTTGGCCGACAATTAAAGAGCAGCATTTCTAAGAAGAACATCCTGAATAATAAGAAGACTTTTGGGAGCTTCTCAGCTTCGCCTTTGTGTCCTTAAATCTGGAGGATGTTCATTGTCCAGTCATGAAAACTTTTTTTAATCTGTTTCAAATAGGTTTTTTCTTTGAAGGCAAGCTTGTGATGTTATGCCAGCATTCACTGTCTGCATTTAGATACTATTTGGAAATAATGACATGTATATTGAATAAGCAACAATGCACAACTTTTGAGAAAATGAGACTACCAATAAAACAACATTGTCTATTTTCTCTCAGCGTGTGAGACTTCCGATTCATAATCATTTATGATTATGATAATAAAATAATGTGATATCAAAGCGCCAGCATGCAATATAAAGGCACATTAACATACTGTTACTACACTTTTAGTATAATAAAACCATGATTCATTTTCGTAAGGGAACTTTTTCAGTAGAAGATTTTTACCTGAAACCGGGGTTCTTAGTGATTCATAAAATGCAAGTCAGTGGCTACCGACATATGAAAGTAAAATAAAAACAAAAAAAACATATACAGTCAAGACAAAATTAATACCTGTGGCTCGTGACGATATTTTAAGGTCTTATGAAGCGAAACGATTGGTCTGCGCAAGAAACAGAACATTATTTACAACATTATACCAGTAATCCAGAGCCTCAGTGAACGGGGAAATCTGATTATTCGGATTATTTACGTCAACTGTTGTGTTTTTTTTTTGTTTGTTTCAATAAACTGGTTCAAACAACCAATTCACCAGTTCTTTTATGTAATCACACAATGATGTCACATATACACAATTATATTATTAAAGCACTCAGTAATAATGTGAAATGGATGTTTTATGTCTAAAGCATATAAAGTGAATAAACTAGTCTTCATCAGCTCACCTTTTTTACATAAAGCATGAGAAACCATAATTTGGCCCCTTCATTCTAGAGTTTGATTTACGCATCAGCGGCTCACCGGTCTCCGAGTCGAACTGGTTCCTCAGTTCAGTGACTGCTGGAGAAACTGGAGCTCTGAATTATGCATTAATCATATAATCAGATACGGTGGTATTTCGGCTCATTTCCAGTCGGAGTGACTGTCAGGCATCTGTTTTGTAGATCTGTTCTGATCGAGCCGCACACCGTTTCAGACGCTTCAGTCTGATTCTGTGAAATGATTCAACTAGTTCACTAAAAAGAACTGGTTCAAATGAATGATTCGTTCGTGAAGTGGACATCACTCCAGACCGTTTGTCTGAGGCTCTGGATTATGTTGTAAATAATTAATTTTCGGTTTCTTACACAGACTGATCATTCTGCTTCATAAGACCTCAATATATCATCAGGAGCCACATGTATTCATTTTGTGTTGCCTGTATATGCCTATGTTTTGACTTTTTGATGGTAGCCATTGATTTGCATTGTATGAATCAGAATCCCCAAGGAGCACAGTTTCCGCTAAAAATATGTTTTACTGTTCTACTAAACAATAAAAAAGTCACCTACATCTTGAATGGCCTGAAAGTGAGTAAATTAACAGCAAATTTCATTTTTGGGGTGAACTTTCCCTTTAAATGTTGCAGTGTTTTTGTTTCAGTCGGGAGGACGGCATGAACTTGGACTCGTTATCGTAGAGATTAAGTGTCGCTGTAGCATGATGTTAGAAAGACCTGACTAGGCAAATGCTTTTAAAAGCGTGTGAGGCACTGTCTCTGTTATGACGAGAAGTTCAGAATAAACAGAGTAGTGAGTTAAAAGGCTGGAGATAAAAGGGTTTTGAGAGGTCATGATGACACAACGGCAGTGAGTGATGCTGGAGAAGAATCCTGCTGTTTTAGCAAATACGACCTGTTACTCAGATTGTTCCACAAAGAATCGTTGTGCAGCCTTTTCATTCAAGAATTAAAACTCAATAAACAAAAAAGTATGAATGTTTGTTACTGATTTTGCATGTTATGTCATGTTTACATATTTACAAAAAATCCGAAAATATGTTTTCTGTAACTTGCATCCTACATCTTTGATTATACTACTGTTTGTGAAGATTTTATTTTAATTTTTTTTTCCAAAATTGTCATGGCTTTACGCATTGTTTTTATCCTTAATGCAAAATTAAGAAAAATAAATGTTAATAAACAGAATAAATATTACAGAAATATTACAGACAATTATTTCAGAATTTCACTGTTAAAACACATATAAATAGCCTATATTAACCTGTTTTGAAAATAAGTTAACAATTACAATTAACAATATAAATGTCCAAACTTTTATGAATTTTGCATGTTGTGCCATGTTTAATCTGCACAAAACATCAGTTTATTTATTTATGTATTTGTTTGTTTATTTATTTTAACACTTTAATCATGCAGCTTTGGAAAAGAAAACAATCGTTTGTCGAGATTATTTATGGAAACTGGGTAAATAATGTTATACTCATCGTTTTCACCTGTTAACCTGCTTTGAAAATGATAAAGAACAGCTTAGATTATTGTAATCCTCACAAATGATGTTTAATTAGAATTGGCCTCCGGCTCTACATTTAGTCATGGTGAGAAACGACAGATGAGGTCAAACATGCTCTGAAGCAGCTCTGTGATCACAGGCAGCAGAAATGACTGCAGTTTAACTGCACTGCACTCAATCAGAGCAGATTGCATCCTTCTGTTGAGCCATTACTAGATGACCGGTCACTTGAACAACCGGCCCAGCATTTTAATGAAACTGGGCAAACTGGAAGACAAATCGTGATGATAATTTGTCTTCTAATGCGTTTGGCAGGTTACAGCACTCTCCAGTTGGCCCCTGCTGGTTCAGTACAAACCTACAGAATCATGGTTACCTTCTGGGCTGAAAGGAAATGTTATGGTTAGCTCTCAGCTCTAGACTTTATCCATGTGTGAGTAAAAAAAGAGTGCGTGAGACAGAGAGAAATAGTGTTACATCATCTAATGCACCTCTATCAGTGATCTCTGGCTGGTTTGTGGTGTGTAATTACTATTGAGAGGCCATTAAATGCAGAGACAGCGTTTCACGGTTCATTTCCAGCAGATGGTCAAGCCTCCAGACAGCGGACGCAGGTCATTCCAGGTCAAAAGAACCAGAGGAAAGATTGCACATTATTGCATTTGTTCCCAACAAACATTAGACTAGTCATGGTGATTGAACTGTTGTATAGATGAACAGTCACTAAAGGGTATTTGCACACTTGTGTCCAATAGACCTTTATGTTGACTTGTTCTTGCAATACTAAATGTTAACACAGAAGAATGTTCGCTGAAAAAAAAGGTATCTCCACCTTCCCCAGCTCCACCTGCATAGATCTGCTACAGGGTTATTGTATATGCTATTTGTGCAGCAGCAGCATGTCTTAAATACTCACGGCACCGTATCGCCGTATACATTGGCAGTAGCAAGTTCCTGTATTTGCTTGCAGCAGCAGCAATAATCTACAACTACAGCAATAACCAACAGCAGCAGCACTTCAGCAGCAGCGTAGCATATCTGCTCCGCCAAGATCAAATACATTAACATTGTCATATCCATCACCATGCTAAAATGTTCCGAGAGTTGTCATGATTGAAATAGCATTTATCTCATTGTGGATGTTTTATATTAATTAAAAAAAAATGCATTAATTAAATGAATACAATTATCATGAATTTAAAACGTACATCATGTGCAAACAACCGCCACCATATAGTTAAGGCAAAACTTACAGAAGTTATGACTTTGATGAAATCTATGCAGATTGTTTTGTTAAGGGACGAATGAGACACATTCTGACACTTCTTAGTGGTTGTTTTTATATGATCCAAATTGTTACATCAGTGTCATCCTATGCGGTTTAGGCTGCTATTTTTTAATAAAGGAAGAATATTTACATATTTATCACATCCATATGTTTCCATCATACATTTAACGGTAGAATTTGTGATGACTGTAACTGCTTGGATTTTTCAGCAACAAATCAAACGTGTGAAACACAGTGCTGTATTGTGCTGGCATCAGGCGTGCGTTTACAAAGAGCGTCCGGTGATACTAGGTCACAAATTACAGATCGGACCGATATTGAGCAAGCAGGTCATTCATATTCATTCATACGCATGCATGCATGTGTGTGAACAGCTGATGCTTGAATGAAACTCATTCAAAAGCTAGAGTCAGTCTCCTACTGACCAGCATACACTGCATTGTCTCCATTTACACACAATATATGTTCACATTTCATCAACTATGCACTTGTTTTTCATTAATGCATAAACAACAATCAACAATTAGATGCATATTATCATTAAAACTATTATTTTTTAAATGATTTATTTATTACTTTTTTTAGTAGTTCTAATAAAAATACTAAAGTTCTCTTTGTTTTAATTATTTGTCTCATTTTTGAGGAGAATTGTGCACATTTTATACAGTCTGTCTTTACCACATAGCCAAAATATGGAATGCATTTTGTGATTCAACTACGAAATACAGAAATACAAGAAAAAACGAATTGATTATACTAATCAATTACATTTAACATTTGCAGACATGCAGAGCACATTAAAGATTTTACAATTATGACCCTATATCTCCAGCATGAATCCACTTGATAATCAAACAATAGTAGATATTGTTCATTTGAAGCTCCGTGTCTTCTAACCAGGTTTCCACTGTGCTCCTGCAGCAAACATGCATGTTCTTTAGAAAACATGCTTTAATATAAATGTCCTTTAGGCTGCAACATGTTCCTTTCAATCTGAAAGACAATAAGAGATGTTCAACAGTCAGAAGAGCCCACATACAGTCGATCCCTTTGCAAGAGTCAGTAATATCAAAAAACAAAACACAAAAAGAATACAGAATAATGTCAAAATGTTTTAAATCATATAGGCGAAAATCAAAGCCTCTGAACAAACACATGCAGATGATGAACTCCAGATTTGTGGCTGTCAAGGACAGTTTTGATGAGCTCTTATCATGGTCTTGCTCTTTAAAATCATGTTTTCGAACCGTGGATATCATTTCTTTGTTGCAGAATGGATTCAATGACTGATTTTGATTCAAGGCGAGTTCAGCTGGAAGCAAATATTTAAGAGTAAATAGCCATTTTCATGGTTATTATAACAAAATAAAACCCAGCAGGCAGATCAGGATCCTGAAACCTGACTGTACATTATTTCTCATATTACATGGCTACTTACCAATGAAATTAAAAAAAATATATACATCTGCATGACACGGAATGGAGTTTATTTTCTTAATTAGCTAATGACACTAATTCTTCAAACATATACCAGTCAAAAGTTAGTAATCTTTATTGTTTTTGAAAGAAGTCTCTTCTGCTCACCAAAGCTGTATTTATTTCATGAAAAATGCAGTAAAACCAGTAATATTGTGTAAACATTTTTGCAATGTCAAATAACTATGTTCTATGTGAATATATAGTAAAATATAATTTATTTATGTGATGAAATAAAGCAATAAGCCTCAAGAAGCCGTGGTTTACAGTAAATTTATAACAGCTAAGGGGCGTTGTTAGGCACGACGCGAAGCTGTTATAAATAACGTATCTGTTATAAATTCACTGTAAACCACGGCTTCACGGGGCTTATTGCTTTTATAAAACGGTTATTCCATATACCGAGTAAGGTTTCACAAAATAAAACAGAGCAAATCAAGTGTAATGATATTAATAAAAACAGTATTCTTCCACCAAACAATGTAGCTCCTCAGAAACAGTTGTGGTTGCAACAAAGGTAAACAAAGGTGTATGTTTGTAGAGTAATTTACAACAGCTTTGAACGCGGCTCAGCCAATCAGAATCAAGGACCGGAACTCTCCATTTTATAAGCTGTATTTTCAGCATCATGACTCCAGTCTTCAGTGTCACATGATCTTCAGAAATCATTCTAATATGCTGATTTGCTGCTCAAGAAACATTTCTGATTATTATTATGTTCAAAGCACACTGACACCAAATCAGCATCTTAGAAACACAAAAATAAACTGCATTTTAAAATATATTAAAATAGAAAACATCAAAGCACACTGACACCAAATCAGCATCTTAGAATCACAAAAATAAACTGCATTTTAAAATATATTAAAATAGAAAACATCTGTTTGGATTTTTTGATTAAATAAACGCAGCGTTAATTCACATAAAAGGCTCGATTTAAATGAAATGTAAATACTGTATGTGATGCAAATGCCCAATGAGAATAAATTATCCCAGAGAGCTGAGTAATAATGGTGTATTATAGTATTTACTGGATTATATAATCTGTTGAGATCATCCTTGCTTATCCTGTGGTCTTTACATGAATATAACATCCTCCACATGTGAACGTCATGCTGTGAGCCACACGCACTGCCCCTGAAAGAGAACCTGGATATTGTGCTGTCAGGCCTGAGGTCAGACGAGTCAACACAAGGGGTTTAAAGAGTCTTCAAATTTACTAGAAAGAAAACGTACCTCCAAAACGAGACGGATCATTCCACATGGATGGGCAGCTTTATGTTCCCTAAGGCACATCGTGGTGTGGTGTGATGGGCACCTATGTCTCCACTGACTCCGGAGCCAAGCACACAAACGGAGTTAAACACGACACCGGGCTGTGCCACATTTCTGAGATCCAACCACAGCCAGAAAAAAACACAGCCCTGCTGCCAAACTCCTGAAGGAAATTACAGGGGCAAAGAGACACTATTCAAGCCTTCAGTCGGCTTCAGCACAGAGCAACAAATCTGAGCCTGATGAATTTAAGATTTAAAGACAGCCTTTAATTCCTTAACTCAAAATATTTCAACAAAATATGAAACCATTTGGGCGTAAATATATGTGCATCCTTCATGTATGGGCCAAGAAACAGAGGGTTTATACTACACTACATCATCCCTGAACCAAAACCCCACAAAACGAGTTCACCCATGATTTAATAATACAGAGACTGCATGCTAAATGTGTTTTAACCTCTGAACCTGAAGCTCTCCTCCACGGTCTGATTAATCGCGCTGGAACTGAAGTCACGTCTCACTTCAGAGATCCAGCAGACCGTTACTGTGTGGACCATCAACAGGCCACAAAAAAGACTTTTGGGCTTTGGAAAACATGAGCTTTGATTGAATTAATGAGGTGGCATATATCTGCAACCCACAGAGGAGGAGATTCGGGATCATTCATGCTCTAATATTATCTTGCACGTGATCACTAAAATATGAACTCGGACTGAAGCTGACAGGACTAATGTTTCTTTTAACAACACAAGAGACTGTGTTGAAAACACCCAATTAAATGAGAGAGCAGTGGGTTTGTGGACTCTGTAATTGGTTGGTATTATGATTGACTAAAGCAGGACAAAAACTGAAAAGTGATTTTTTTTGTTTTTTTGTTTGTTAAAACACTTATCCTATACATGTTTAATGTGCAGAGACTACCATATATACAGTATATATATATATATATATATATATATATATATATATTAAATAAGAAAACAAGTGAATGCTAGTGTTAGAGGGTCAAGTTTTTTATAATAAATAAAAGAAAACGAGTAGCTTAGATAAAAATAGAAATATAACAGAATGTGCTACAAAATTGATCATTCACAAAATGATGGATAATAATTCACTGAATGTATTTTTGCTTTGTTTTTATTCACTTTATGAAGATGCTGTAAATTGAATCATTATACTTTACATTTTGTCATATTACTATGCATGTAATTCCATGCATGCAACTTAGATATTGTTTTCGGTTTACAATCCTAATTATTTCATTAATTTTGACAAATTTACTCTTAAATATAGACCCTGCATCCATTGCATCTGACATTTTTCAACTCAGAAAAGTTGCACACTTAACACTTTATGGCGTCGCTTCCGTGTGTTCCACTCAATCAAATGCAATATTTCTGACTCGACTTGAATGCACCAACACATTCTCACACTTGCAGCTAATATATGTCGTCATGCATCATATATTGGTCCTATATTGCCCCAAAATAGAGCAAACAATGCTGACTCCACCAGAAGAGGCAGAAGCGGAGAGAAGTGGGCAGAAGCAAAGTTAATTCATGGTAAATGCGTCGACCGCCTGATTTAGTGAGAACTGACACCCGCAAACATGCACACTTAGTTGAGTCCTATCCGGAGACACGTGTCCCATGGATTTGGTTGATCATGTGAATCAACAGTTGACAGATGCTGTGTAATGCTGGCTTACATAACCAAGCAAACTGTAACCAACCCCTTCTGACGAATTAACTGACCCATTATTTGGTTCAGCCACAAAACAGATCTATATAGTGCTAATAAAATATAAATCGCTAGGCTGCCTTTAGATGCACTCAAAGGGGCCGTTTTTGGAGGAAGGAGACAGAAGGTTGTTGCTTGCATACTACATACTGTGCTAAGTGCAGACGGGTGAGGGATCAAGAGTTCAGGCTGTGTTCTTGCAGACTACGGGGTCTAAAAGGCACAGGCGCACACCACCGCTACCACCACAATGTTGCCAATGGTTGCAATGACAGCCACCCACAGCCAGATGGCGTCGCTGGAGAACTTGCCCTCCTCTTCTTGCTCGGCTGGTCTGGAGAAGCTGGTGTTGAGGTTGGAGGTGGACGTCTGAAGAGACGTGTTGCCGTTGTATGGAGAATCCATGAAGGCCCCGCTGACTGCTTGCAAATGCTGTAAAAAAAAGGAGGGAAAAAACTCTTTGTAATGGAGCAAAGATTAATGTAATTATTCTCAGTCTGTGGGTACGTTACACTAAAACAATGTAAAGGCAAAAGCGTTTTTCACATACAGACAGCAACATTGTCATAATGATCCGCGAAAACGTCTTAAAGCACTGTATTAGGTTTGTCAGGCCAGTAGTTGGCCATGTCACTTTGTAAAGAAACACTACGCGAACATGTAAATCAGTGACAATCAGTGTTGGGTAAGGTACTCTTAAAAAGTAATTAATTACTAGCTACTGATTAATACATCTTCAACAGTGTAATTAGATTAATGTGCTCTAAAAAGCATGGCATTACTTCTTACTAATTACTTTCTAAACCCCAAATCAACCTCAACCAGTTGAACATTACAAGGAAGGACAGACACAAAACTTTTAATTAATTCTCAAATTAATTCTGCTTTTAATTCTTCCAATTTAATAATATAAAATTGCATAAATTATTCTTGAACTGACCAAAGTATTTAAATGAAGAAGGTTACATAAAAAACCCTACATTTTAACACTAGATGTTGCATTTTAATGTTACATGTTTAATGTTCCACTATTGTTGTATATAGAATTGTTTTATAGTCTATACAGTATTTAATGCAGTTACATCACTGTAATTAAATATATATAAAACACATATTCTGCATGGGCATATTCTGCATCACTAATCCTGCCCAATACCTAAACTTAACAACTACCTTGCTAACTATTAATAAACAGCTAATTAGGACTTCATTGAGGCAAAAGTCACATTTACTGGTTTGTTAATAGCGAGATTTGGACCTTAAAATAAAGTGTGAACAAAAATGGTTAAAAAAGGTAAAAAATAAAAATCTAAATTTAAAAAAAAAGTGAGTTTATCAAAATAAAATTCTTTGCAAACTGCATTTCACATCAACTTTTTTAGTTATGAAGCATCTTGGATAACATTCTCAAAAGCTTGACTTTCCTGCTCTGAGCTGTTTGATAACGGCACCTGGCTAAAAAATAAAAAAAACATCCCTATTAATCATGTAATGTTCTGATGGCACCCATCTGGCGTATGAGGTGATCAGTCTGGAGGTGTACAGGTGCATTCTGGGTAATGATGATCATTTTGTTCTGTTGCTCTTCTTCACCTCATTGCTCCTCTATCTACACAATGACAAGCTCCATTCATCAGATCCAGACACAATCACCGCTCGTCATCTGACCTCAGAACAGCTGTTTGAAGGTTGGAGAAGAACTGCTGAAAAATAAAATAAAATAAAATAAAATAAAATAAAATAAAATAAAATAAAATAAAATAAAATAAAATAAAATAAAATAAAATAAAATAAAATAAAATAAAATAAAATAAAATAAAATAAAATAAAATAAAATAAAATAAAATAAAATAAAATAAAATAAAATAAAATAAAATAAAATAAAATAAAATAAAATAAAATAAAATAAAATAAAATAAAAAGGTATTTGCGACTTGTCACAATTCTGATAGTTTTCTTTTTTTTTTCTTCAGAATTATGAGATATAAACTGAAAAAAAAAAAACAATTCTGAGAATTGTAAGAAAGTCACAATTACATTTTTATGTATTTCTTCCATGGTGGAAATGGGCTTCAATAGAAAAGAAAACATGTACACATGCAAACTTGCTTTACTGCTGCTATTGCCAAGGCAACATCTATTTTTTTGTTTAGTTTAATGTGAATAAAAAAAAAAACAAACAAACAAATAAATACAAAAATAATAAAAACTACAAACATTAAAATATTCTAAAACTAACTAAAACTAAAAAAGTGAAAACAGAAAATGTAAAAATAATTTAAAAATATTTTAATTCTAATATTCGAATTCAATATATTAACAAAAAAGTATATCACTTATACTAAAATTAACACTGGTAACAGATTAATAAAAAATAAAAATGTGGGGCGGGACTTTTACTTCAAATGCATCGGTTATTTTGAGATGTGGGCGTGACCCAGAGGTGTATGCAGATGAGCATGAGATTTTAGGGGCGGAGTTTAACATGCATTTTGTTCATGCTGACTTCAAAACTAAACATAAATTCCAGATCTGCTCCATGTGGATAAAACGTGAGTTAGAACGCTCTTATTATTAATAATGTGTCACTTTAAATCTAATTTCAAGTGATATATAGCCTAGTTTTCCCTCATTATCTGAATACGGCTCATTAGCTGCATACTGCTACTCAAGTCTTAATATGATTAGATTAAGAGCCAAAAAAAGATATTCGAATTTCGATTCAGGTCAATGGAATAGTATATGCATTAAATATATTAAGAGTACAGAGACTGAAAAGCAGCAATAAATCCTGTTTGTCCACGCATGCACACACAGAAAACACATCTGCCTACTTGTGAGCGACTAGTGTTGTTTGTGACAGATGAAGGCCGTTATCAGCGGTTATCATGCTCTAATGAGGCGTCGTCTCCGTGTAAACATGCGTTTGCTGAGTGCAGCAGCTGACAGGTTTCTGTACGCTCATTCTGAGAGGAAGAACAGCTGTAAAGCCTCCGTCATACAAACTCTGCATCACGCTTCAGAAATATACCAGCTTCCCTCAGAGATCACCAGAGGAAACACACACACACTTCATTAACCCACCGCTCTTCATAACACAAACCATAAAGAAACACGTCAGTATAACCACGCAGTGCCTGCTCTCCTTGATCTGCTTGAGTTTACAGTGAAGATCTCAACTACACCAAACCAAACTCTAATGCTGGCTGTAATTCAGAGCCATCCAGAAATGCAAGTTTAAATTATTTTTTTTATTATTATTATTTATTTTATTTTTTTTTTTACATATTTTTACATTTTATCTATCCATCCATCCATCCATCCATCCATCCATCCATCACACATTGTGGTTAAACTTACTTTAAAAAAGAAATACAATTCTAGTGTGGCCCAAATTTCATTCCCCTTTAGCAATTAAAATCTGTTACTCTTGCAAAAATACGCATTTTATCGGTTTATTTATTTTTTTATTTTTTCAAAATGTACAATATTCACACATATTTGAAATTAAAGACAGCTATTTATATATTCTCATTGTCATTTTTTTTTTTTTTTAACTAAACTTCAAACTCTTATTTCCCACATGATATTAAAAGGACCATAACCATATCTGATGAGAATAATTCATGACTGACTTTGCACAACTTAGAATCAACACAAGCCTTGTAATATGTATATTTAATAAATCAGGCCTTTTAAAATGAGACTGGTCGCTCTTCCAAAGTTTCTTGTTTTCCTCTCATCTCAGGACTCAAGCTGAGGCGCGTTTCCAGTGAAATGATTACTTCATTACTTACATAACTAAAGGAGCACAAAACAAAACATATAAAGTAAAACAGCCAACATGTGAGTGCAGCACAACGTAAAATAACATAATAACATGAGGTGCATCAGCGTGAACATTTTGCTCCTGAAGTCATGTGCATAATCAGGCGTCCCGCTGCCACATGCCAGCACAAACTCATTAACACTAATGTGTGCCATCCAGAGCACAAGCAGTTTATCATTACTTGAGCATATATATATATATATAATGTATACATACAATATATGCATTAAATATATTTATAATACAAATATAAAATATAAATAAATGATATCATTAATGAAAATATTATTTATTTGAATAATTACATATAAAATCAATATTATTTTATAGTAATTAGATTATAGAAAATTGAAATTCATAAATAATAATTATTGTTATTATTACAGTTTTTTACGATTGCTTACACACTAAAATTAAACTTTTCCAACAATTAGCAAAACCTTACACTCAAGGAGCAAAACACAAGGCTAGATTTGCACAACTGTAAGCACATTGTCAGCTTCACACTATTTGCAAAACATTACACACAGTGATTTGCAAAACACTAAACACACTTGTATACATCAGACACAGAAGTATATCATGATGTCACTTCCTTGCAATTCCAAAGCACTGACTGTCAAATTACCACACCTATGAGCCAATCTGTTAAACACAGCCATCAGGTGCACAAACACATGATTGCTAAATTGTCCAGCTATCAAACCACTATCTGTAATAAAAGCTTTATATCACACCAAAACCGAACGTGCAAATATCACAAGAACAAAGACACATACAATTCATGAAGTCTGTTGCTATCAGAGCAGTTAAAGCACGATATAGAGACAGAAATACAGAAACAGAAAAGACTATCAGCAGGGGAAGAGGAAATTAAAGAAATACAGAAAAAGTTAAATGAGTACCTCTAGGTTTCTGCTCCTGAGTTGATTGATGGAAAAAGTGTTTATAAGAGTCCTGTCGCTCATATTCTACAGCGACTGTACACGGATCCACACGTGTGTGTGTGTGTGTGTGTGTGTGTGTGTGTGTGTGTGTGTGTGTGTGAGCGTGTGTATATGTATGTGTGTGTGTGTGTGTGTGTGTGTTAGAGATAGAGAGAGATCTAGCTGCTGATCCGCTGGCTTTTACTCTCAAAGCAAATCAGACCAATCTCACTTATTCAGATACAGAAACAACATTCCAAACAGCCAAATATCTCTGCTGCTGTCCATCAGTCCTCTTGTTTTCTCATGTGTCTGTGTGTTTAAATGCTTGTATGTGATCAGTAATGCACACGCGTGTGTTTAATCTGAACAAAAACATTAAGCCTTTGAAGCTCTTCATCAGATTGGATCATGGATAATGACGGAGAGCATCTGGCCATCATCTCGTCTATGGCAACAACATCTTCCAATTGTAACATTATGTGTAACATTTTTTGTGTGTGAAACCAGTGTTATTTTATATACTATTATAGTATCTATTGCTATTTAGAATGAGCTTTTGCATTTTCAGTTTTCATGTAGGTTTGTGTGTTAATTATTTTGTTAAGTTCTTAAGTTCCTATTTAGCTTTAATTTACATTTATTTCAACATTTAATGATTTTATTTCAGTTATTTGCCAGCTATTCTAATTTGTATGTTTTATGTCAGCTTTATTTCAATTAACAAAAACAGATTTGAATAGTTTTAGTTGTTATTTAGTTGTTTTACATTGTGAAACTGAATCTTTTTTTAATGGTTAAGGATATAAAACCTCACACAACTGCACTATGAAAATATATTTCATACTTTCTTGAAGTGGCTTGTCTCTACTGTTTTAAATATATCATCCACACTGCTATAATGGATTTCGGCGTGATGAAATGTGTATAATGGAGTTGAGAGTATGAACAACAAACAGCCAACAGCAAGGAACTGAAAGACAGATTGCATGTGTATCCATTCATCTGAGGTAAATCTTGTACATCATGTTTAATGCAACCCTTGTTCTGTTTGTTTCTAAAGCTCATCTTTCTTTCCTCTTAGTTTGTAAACTGGCTCAGATTCGCTCTAATGCTGATTGGATCTCATGAGGAGCTCATCAAGTGTCATCCATCTCTGTAATCCAGTTCTGTGGCACAACCAGAGTATTTTCCATTAAGACCACAATGCACTCAGATTGCAAGAGGGAATAAACTAAACATGAAAAATCAATCCATCTGCTCTGACATTCACATTACAGAAAATATTAGCCTCGAGTGAATCATGTTACTCTGAGCTGCACAGACATCTGACTGATGCACAACATCCACATTAACTGCACAACTTTAAACATGATGCACACATACACACAATACAGAGGTACTGTATTCTGAAATCCTATGAGTAGATCTTCTAACTTGCTTAAAGGAATACTTCACCCAGAAATGAAAATCTGCTGAAAATGTACTCTCCCTCAGGTCATCCAAGATGTAGATGAGTTTGTTTCTTCATCAGATTTGGAGAAATGTAGCATCGCATCAGTGTCTCAGCAATGGATGCTCTGCAGTGAATGGGTGCCGTCACAATGGGAGTCCCAACAGCTGATAAAAACATCACAATAATCCACAAGTAATCCACAGCACTCCAGTCCATTAATTAACAGAAGACAAATAAAGAAGACAAATCCATCATTAAGACGTTTACAACTTCAAACCATTGCTTCCGGCTAAAATACGAGCTCATAATCCATAATAACACTTCCTCCAGTGAAAAAAGCCCATCTCCTGTTGTCTCTCTCATCAAAATCCAGCCACATATTTGTTTAGAGCTGTTTAAACGGTGCTTGATCTGTGCAGATTTCTCTCCTGATTCACACCAGAACACTTTTCACTGGAGGAAGCGTTATTATGGACTGGTATTTTAATCAAATCAATGATGGATTTGTTTCAGCTTTTGTCTTCTCCAGATGTTAACTGATGGACTGGAGTGGTGTGGATTAGTGGGATGTTTTTATCAGCTGTTTGGACTCTCATTCTGACGGCACCCATTCACTGCAGAGCATCCATTGCTGAGACACTGATGCAATGCTACATTTCTCTGAAGAAACAAACTCATCTACATCTCAGATGGCCTGAGGGTGAGGACATTCACAACCTTTTTTTTATTTTGGGGTGAACTATTCCTTTAAATCCTGATACTTTCCTTTCTTATTTCTGTGACAACTCTGGCGATTGTGGGATTTCTCACTTTCAGTAACATTCCTGTCAAGTTTCAAACACATTTTCTCACACACACTCTGCCTCTAAACATCCTGTTCAAAAGATTAATACTGTAACAAATGTTAGTTGTCATCATTGTTAATGTTAGTTAACTAACATTAGTTAATTACAAATAAGATTAATTGATATTCTAAATACTAATAATGGCTTTATTTCATATTAACAGAGATGCTTTATAACTTTTCCCTTTTGACACTTGTTTTGATCAAGTTTTGGCATCATTTTTCAGTATTTCATGAATTAGCATCAGAAACTGACACCCACTGTAAATGCACCATAATACGTGTCATCTAGTAATGAAGCTTCTGTAAATAGAATAACACTCAGTGACATGTATTATCATTATCCTCTCTGGATGAAGGCTGCTGCCTCACCTGTGCAGGATGACAGACCCTAAACCCTTCCTACACCGTCGAGTTGCTTGAGAAACTCTAAAATGCCTTTCATGTAAATTGAAGGAGTGTGACTTCCAAAGGGCTGAGCGATGTTCAAGGCCTTGAACCGTACATTAAATACGAATAGAAAACACTGCTCTATAGCTTCACTCTCGACTGAAGAAATCCCTAACCTCACATTACCTACTTACTGAGATTGTTGACTGTTGATTTTAAACTGTGAACAAGCCTCCAAAAAATGCTTTGGTAACACTTTATAAAAACGTGTCAAAAATAAATAAGGGACATTAAATATTGATACGAGTTGAAATTATTTATTATGTGAGGAACAGACCACATCAGTCAAAGTCACAGTTTAGCCTCATTATACAAAAATAACGGACCAATCAGAATCAAGTACTCCTGAGAGTCATGCAGTAAAATCTAATTAAGTTTCTGTTTATGTAATGAAGGTTTTTATAAAGTGTTACCAATGTTTCATGCTGTTTTAGGAACTTGGATGAAACTGCATAAATGAGCACACATGGCTGTCTATGGTCACGTATTAGCATCTGTGATCAGGACTGCGTGAGTTTGGGAACAGATGTGACTGGTGGCCACTTTACATTTCTAATTAGCATTCTGTCACTTGATAATAAAGGGCATAAAGAAAAAAAGCAGGTTGATTAATCAGTTATCGTCACCAGATGCTTCACTATAGGACAGCTGTACTTCATTACTAAAGACAAAGGTCTCAATTTATTTTCAGTTCTTTTTGAATTGGAAAAAAAAAGATTAACTCAAATTAAATACATTTAATTGAATTTACAATTACGACTGCCTCTGTAAAATCATTGCATAGCAAATGTTTAATGCATAAAGCAGTCTGCCACTATATTCTATTTACATGCACTGCTTAATGGATGCTCTGCAGTGAATGGGTGCCATCAAAATAAAAAAAAAAACATCACAATATATTTGCACAATACTCGAGTCACTCATTTAACGTCTTGTGAGGTGAAAAAGCCACGTGTTTGTAAGAAACAAATCCATCATTAAGGCATTTTAACTTTAAGGAATTGCTTCTGGCCAAAATATGAGTCCATAATACATAATAACACCTCCTCGAGTGAAAAAATCCATCTCCCGTTGTCTCTCACATCACTTGAAAATGGTGCTTGATCTGTGCATATTTCTCTCCAGATTCAGACCAGACAAATTTTTGTCACTGGAAAAAGCAATATCCTGAACAGAGGACTAGTATTTTACACGGAATCAAAGTAAATAATGCTGGATTTGTTTCAGCTTTTGTCTTCTCCAGATGTGAACTGATGGACTGGAGTGCTGTGGATCACTTGTGGATTATTGTGATGTTTTTATCAGCTGTTTGGACTCTCATTCTGACGGCACCCATTCACTGC